CTGATTTTTTAATGCAAGGGAGAAATTTCGTTATCATTATCGTTATTGCTATCAAATTAAAAATTAAAGTTTCGCTAATTTTATAGAATGAGGTGTGCATATTGTAATAAAAAAAAACGTTTTTTGTCTAGTGAAAATAGATAAATCAGCATACATACAACTTCTTCACAATTAAGTTGTAATAAATTTTACGTAATATTACAGATATCGAACAATTCATGTTATAACCATGTCATGCAAAAAAAGCCGAAACACTTGGACAATCGATCGATCATTATTGTTTTTTTTTCGGCTATTTGATTATATGCCATTATTAAGTTTGAATAGGGTTACAGAACTTTAATTTGAAGCATTATGCAAATTAAAGCTTCAAACATAACGGTTTCCGATTTAATCGATGATGCGTCGGAATTGTCATAATTTGTGTGGAGAATCGGTTATTAATACATAAGATGAACACTAAATTAATCCCAAAATAGGTTAATTGGCAAATTACATTGATATTGTCGTCAATAAGATCAAAAAAAAAAACTTTGATCTGTAAGAGACAACAATGAGCCGAGACAACACAACACAATAGAATAGAAGCGACGGAAATAATATCACTAACCTTTTTCCTAATAATGTGATTGTTTGATACTTTTATGTATGTACATTGAATAGATACATTATCGAATTACCGATACTCGCAAAGATACAAGCTTAACCATTAATATATTATGTAATCCTGGAGGGGAAGTGAGGCTTTATTCAAAGCCCCAAAATTCGTTAGTTTTTTTTTTACGATTGCCATAGCGGTAGTTATTTTTAAAACATTTGAAACTTTTCCCAAGCATTTTTTACAAATGAAACGAATAGGAAGTGATTTTTGTTTCCAAAGTATTACCTTACATGTTTCGATAACTTCATATTTGTTAATCAATTTAAGCATAATTGAAATTAAAACCGCCAATTTTCCTAATGTAAAATATTTTTAAAATGTAAATTTAGAGATAGAAATTATTTTTTCAAAAGGTCCAAAGTTTAACAAGTTTGTAATACAATAAGTTAAAGACCAAATCTTGTTTCCCGGATTTGAGATTATTGATTGAATTCTGGTTTTCATTATTAATAGTTGGGAATTACTAGAATTTAGAAAAGAAAAAATGATAACAAATCAAGTTAGATTAATCCGTGAAGGTAACATTGCGCACTTTGGGTACAAAAAATTCGGAATCAATATTTTACTTGATTTTATCGTTATCGTTAAAAAGCATATACCTAATGTATCAAAGATAATCATAAATATTTAAAAAAATAAGTGAAAAAACAGACCCTAAAAAGAATGTAATTTTCAATAAAGTTATTTCCTAAATTGTCTAAACCTAAAAAACTTCAGTATTTGTGTAGCTTGTTATTATCGACTATAGAGTTGAATACTAGTTTTCTTAGCATAACAAAACACTGAACTTTAAAATTCTTGTGTGATTCTTGAACAAAAACTCGATTTTTTTTTCTCAAGTCACTTTCTTTCGAAAGGTACTACTAAACATTAGTGATAATGATAGCAATGATAGCAATGATAGCAATAGTAGAAATACGTAATAGCGATAGATTAAAAAAACCATTAACAGTTAATTCTAATTCTAATTCTATATAAAATAAAATACAATAAAATAAAATAAAATTCTAATTTTAATGCTAATAAATCAGTTCATTTCTAATAAAATTTTGGTACGCAGAAAAAAAAAAAGTCATGAGAGATTTACAAGCATCATGTGTACGTTATTCTCTATTTCTACGTATGTCGATGCTAGAATAGAACACGCATATACACACATATATACGTATATATACGTATATATACGTATATATACGTATATATAGTTTGTATAACTTACACTTGTAAAGTACAACTTTATACATTTACGTACGTACGTACGTACGTACGTACGTACATGACATGATGATCGTTAAGAATATATAGTACTTATCGGTGCCAGTATTAAGTATATATGGTCATATGCAAATATATTACGAAATGATTTACTAACTTATAATAAAACTAGGTATAATATGCACAAGACTTATCAATTTTTAGCAGATAGGCAACTTTATAGAATGCTCCAGACTAACCGCAACAGCTTTCTGACAAAGAAGCCTTCCAAAAGTAATAAAGTGGTAGTACGATGACGGTTGGCGTATTTAAATGACGAGAGGTATGTGAACGTCCACTCGCCACCAAAATAACTATTACTTTCTTAGCATTTATTTATGGGTTCAGTGATTTTCATAGTAGACATGTGAATTTACTGAATAGAAATTCGACAAACATGAGAAAGAATTTGGTAACGACTTTTTTGATCGTCGTTCAAGGCGGGCGTTTTTACTCACGCTATACTGGAAGTATGTAAGGGTTCGAGACAGATCCTGAAATTGCATTGAAAAATTCCGGAACGTGCTAGTTTTTTTTTGTTTTCCAAAGTTGTTATTATAAAAACTTGATAAAATTAGGTCATCAAAAAATATCCAACCATCAAGCAATGCGCTTCTAAAAAAAGTCGTTGATAAATCAATCATTCGTTATAATCATTCGTTATATTACATATCATTTATACACATCGTATATACATATCATATCTACATATCATATATACATACGTATACATATATCATATGGCAATTATACGTATACGCATTTTCCCATCCCCCTTTGACACCTAACCTCAAATCATTAAGTCAGAAGAAGTCAGAAGAAGTCAGAAGAAATGTGGCACATTTATAATTTCAAAATCTCTGCGCCAATTAATGTTGTTCCAAATTAACGCTTAATTACACGTTTTTTTTAGAACAAGGATGATAGGCTTAACTTGAGATTCAAGAACTTTGAGCTAGATCAAAACGAGATCGTATATACTGTGGGTCAATCTTTTTATCAGGTTATCATAAGCATCAACATTAAATGAAGAGAAGACTTCTTTTTTGTTGTTTTTAATGAGTGGATTTATTGGGAAGGTTATGCCGGATTTTGCATTCCATTGCAGAAAAAAAAAAAACTCGAAAACTGTAAATAAAAAATATGTGGATACCGGACCATCTATTTAGTTAAAAGGAAAAAAAAAAAAACGCAATCTGTTTTGCGTTTTTAGATGTAAACTGGTTAAGACGTGAATATAAAAGGAACACTAAAAAAAGAATATCTTTCTTATATAGGAAATATTTGATGTTAAAAAGGTATGTTTTAATATAGCATTTTACGCAGAGAAAATGGATTAGTGGTCATTAGCTAAAGTATTTTATGTATCCTTTTTCAGGAGACATTTGAATTTTCTTTTAATATCAATATTATATAGGCACAACGATAAAAAGATCCAAGCAAACAAGAACGTCAATTAGAATTAAAATTTTATTGGTAAAATAAATCATGCAATATGTCTGGTAAATCATATTAAAAAAAATTTAATTCTTGATATCGGATAATCACACTAGAGGTCAAGACTAAACAAGTGAAAACTTGTTTACAAGACTACTAATATTGTATGTATATATATTTCTTATTAATTAATCTTTGTGGTGAAACTATCGTGTATCAAATATCTCTAAATGTATGCTAGTAGACGATATATATAACGATAACGATATAACGATATAACGATATAACGATACGTATTAACTATATATATATATATATATACTTTTAATTATAATAATAAATGCTACGTACTTGATACTTATGTAAATTTCAAAAAGTTAGTAATCTATAGTAATAGGATAAACTTTGATCATAATTGAAAAAGGCTGTGCGTACAGTATCAAAGTTTATCAAAATTTGTTTCTTCTAGACATGGACATGCAACTCGAGTATTTTGTGTCTTGGATCGAGATTTATCTCGACAAAAAAAACAACAAAAAAACAAAAAAACAAAGTTAACTAATTTTAACTGGATGAACTAGGTTAGAATTCAACTTCATTATTGGTGCTCCTTTAATACTATTAATAATAACTTTTCAAGAAATGGTAGCGGTACAAAAAAAAAATTTTTTGTGATGTTTGAACTTTTTTTTTCATTGTACATACCATACGTACGCACATACGTACCTTATCATTACGCTTCGTCTGCGATAAAAGGATAAAAACTCCTTTTCCGCAAAATACTTCTAAAAACGAAAGGCAATGTTTTAACATGCATAACTCACCTGTTCCGCCACATATCCAAAAAATCTATCAAGCTAAATTAATCAGGTTGTGATCATTTTTGGTCCATTGTCTCTTCTTGTTGTCGAGGGGTAGTTTAGATTACTATCATCGTTATGCTTCGTTAATGATAAGTTAATGCTAGGTTAATGCTAGCCTCTTGGTTTACACGATTTACATAGAGTTTACATAGGTTACATAGCTTACATAGCTTAACTTACATAGCTTACATAGTTTACATGGTTTACATGGTTTACATAGTCAAGAGATATTTTTTTTGTTAAGTAGGTATCTTGTCTCGCTCACAAAATAATACTAAGTATAAATACCAAGTATAAATACAAGGTATAAAATAAATATATATATATATACAAGGTACGTATACAGATAAGTTTTAATAATTTGCCTAGAGTACAATATAAATTATATATCTCGCAGGCAGGTGTTGGTTAAACAATTTTTTCTCAGGAAATCAAAAGTATTTTTTCCACACAGACTAATTGAGAATCTTATTTGTAAAACACAATGCGTTTGGATTTTTTTTTTGATTTAGAATTATTATAACATAAATTTATATAACAAAAATAACATTGTGATAAAAAAAAACTTATCACATTTATATTATTAGTCTAAAATGCTTTTTATATTGTACTACTTCATTTCAAATTACATTATTTTATATTTATATATTATTTATACGTGCCAATATATTTTTAAAATAGATTTACAAAAAAAAAAAAAAATCAAATACATATATAAACAGTTTGAAAATTTTCTTGCTTTCATACTTTTTTTTTTGAAAAATAATCTTGTAAAACAAAATCTGATGTCTACAGCTGTTCTCAAACCTTCAAATATCTTGTCAGCTGAACATCACACCACGAGACTAAATTACCCTCTTATTAAAATGCAACAATTAAATATGGCACCTGCTATTCAACCTTCTTCAATACCCACTGTTCGTCAATCTACAATCAATAATTGTACTGAGCCAGAAGTCGATTGTGCTGATGAT